ATGCTGGCTGGGGAATTCTGGGAGTTGAAGTCCACGCATCTTAAAGGGGCTGAGGTTGAGAAACACTGGTCTGTAGTATCCTCCTTGACTTGCTCAAGAAATATGCTTGGATTTGGCTCAGCAGTTTCAGGGAAATATGTAGCTAAATAGGCCAGAGATGCCCAACGTGAGGTTTCAGAGCTGCTTTGAGGGCATTGCTATTTTATGTCAATTGTTGTACGCCACCCAGAGTCGCTTTGTGAGATGGGCAGCTATATAAATGTGGTGTATCAATCAATCAATCAATCAATCAATCAATCCCCCAGAATTCTTCAAAAGTGGTATATGTGAGGCTACCATTGTATTTGGTCTGAAAGCAGCAGCTGGTGAAGAATGCAGCAGCCAGGATGCTGAGTAGGACAACTGGCCATGCCCTTGTTATACCACAGTTGAAGCAACTGGGTGTAGCTCCCAAGACATGTCCAAGATTTCAGTTATGACACACAAGGTCCTGAACAACTTGGAACCAGCAGACCAGGCAGATTAGCATCACCATTACCAACCTAGTTGGTCACCAAATGCCATCTGGCAGCTGCCCTAAGGGAAAGGCCTCTCTTTGATGGGGCCCCATATTGGAATGCTCCCTCCTTCCAAGTAAAATTCACTACAACAACTTTTAGGTACCGGAGAACTTCTTCTTCCTGGTATGACAGTTAGAAAACTCTTTCTTGCCCCCTTGATAATGAAAGGCTTTATTTTTTATTATTATTTTAATGTATTCTTTCTTAGGTATTTATTTGCTGCATTTATGGCAAGCCACTTTGAGATGCTTCAGCATAGGAAACAGCGTATCAATATATTAAATGTAAATAAATAAATTATAAGTTTTAATATGACAGAAGGTGGGAAATATGACACACATGACATGGACAGTCATCCTATTAACTGTAGGATGAAAGGGAAAGAAGTAAGATTTGGTTTTTGGCCTGGTCCTGACCACTCCCTTCTGGAGCGTGGCCTCAGGAACCCTACTCAGAAGCCCAGTGTGGTTGTGGCACTTTGTTCCTGAACTGGGGTGGGGGGAGCGCTTTTCAGTAGAAAACTTATCCAGTACTGTACCACAATCTGAATTCAGAATTCATTCCAAATCAGGAGTCCTGGGTCTGATTTTTCTCCAAAATGGAAGAAAGACAGGTCAAGGATTCTGGCTAAACTCATGACCAGTTTCCAAGGTAGTTTAGCTCAGAATCATCTTAAGTCATTCTTCTCCAGTCTGTATCTTCTGCAATGGCTACTCATGCCAAAGCAAATTGTGTAAGGGGAGATTTGCTGATGAAGATCTGGCCCGATATCAGTTCCATTCCCCAACAGTACAGCTGGGTCTTCCTTCAGCTTGAGCTCTTTAGCCTTTAGACCTTCCTTTCTCCTGAGCTCCTTTCCTGTCAGTGACCATGACCTAGTCTTTCTCTGCACAGAGGTCCTCTGTTGCCAAATTTTGCCAATTGTCCCAAAATTGCTGCATAGAAATGTCCCACTGCTAATCAGGGCTCTGATCACTTTTCCTTGGAGCTGCTAGAAGGCCTGCCAACACTCTGGGACATCCAATAGAAGACAATCTCTGTAGCTTAGGGTTGAACTGTGCTGTCCTTGGTGTTGTCTGAGCTTGGTTGTTTGCTTGCTGACATTTCGTTACCCGACTAGGTAACATCATCAGTGCACTCATCATCATCATCATCATCATCATCATCATCATCATCATCATGCATTATCAATGCACTGATGATGTTATTTAGTTCATCATCATCTGATCATCATGCATCATCAGTGCACTGATGATGTTACCTACTCAGATAATGGAACGTCTGCAAGCAAACAACCAAGCTCTGAGAGCACCAAGGACTCCACTCTGTGACATCCCAGAAGCTCCACAAATGGCCAGGAGGGCCACAGCCTTTAGGCAGTTCACAGGCAAAGAAGGAGGATTTGGCCAATGTTTTAGTAAACCAGTGCTGTGAATCACTTTGAGAAGATTCACATGAGAAGGGCGTTAAAATAAGCCAATTAATTTGTAGGCAAGTTGTCTTTTTTCTCCTTGATACCTCTGTTCCTTAAAGGGTGGGAAATAAAACTAAGGTATTTTTTCCCCTATCTTTTGGCCCATATGATCCTAATGCAATATTTTCTGTAGTATATTGATAGTATGAATGAAATCTCTTAGGTGTTTGGAGCCTCAGCTAAACTTTTCTCTTTGTTCTTTATTTATAGGGTGAATTGGGTGAGCCTGGACCAAAAGGGCAGGTGATTATTTGCTACTAAGAGCAAAATACATCTTATCTTGAACAGTGTGGTTTAGCCTGGCTATCCGTGCTGCTGTA